ACAAAATCAAGTATATGCATGGCTCTATTAAACCATGATCTTTGTGGTTAAGAGTTGGGTTAAACATTAAATTACTAAAAAAAGCTTTTAATAAGTTATTTCTAATAATAATATCTTTGTTTATTAATTGAGTCATAATTAATTAAAAATACRTAATAAAAAAATTAATAAATAAGAAAACATAATTTGAACAACTTTTAAAATAGGTAGGTAATGTGTTTTATTAAAGTTCCATACGTCGTTTTGCGGTAGGGTCCAATGTTTTAAAAATKTTTATTACTTCTTCATAAWCAACATTATACGCTTGTTCCTGTTCAATAAACATGTTTAAAAGTCCATCTAATCTATCCTGACCCATAGTACTGCGWAATTTTGTTTTAACTATATTTAGTTTTGAAAAAGTCCTTTCACAACTACAACTTGTTACTGGTATTGTAACAAATAACTTTAATGCTTTTAAGATACTAGGGAAAATATTTTGTCTATCACAAGAAGTTAACCATTTAATCAATTCATCACATTTATTTTTAAATTCGTTTTTAGGAACACTGTCGTAATTTTGTAAGAGTCGTATTTCTGTTAGTAAAGTCTCTGTATCTAGATTAAATGATGTAGCTAATGTACATATATCGTCATCATTCGTTTGTAAAATTATTAAATTAGCTATACTTTTAATCATGTTAATTGTTTCTTGATTGAAAAGAATAGATATTCCATTGATCATTTGATCCAAAGCTGTATTATATACAGTTAATTTCATTTCTTCTTCTTTAGTTTTAAAGAAATACTGGCTGGTATRAGAAGTATCTACTTTTGATGAAATTTTTCTTTTTTTTGTAGCTGGAATTGGAATATCGATATCATTACATAATTTAACAGTATTTTTATAAATATTTTGAAACTCATATTCCTCATTTCTCATTTTTTTGAGCGATTCTTTCAACGAATCTACTACTTCCACAGCTGTCAACAAATTTATGTTTGAAGTTTGTAGAAATGTGCTTACTTTTAACACTGCACTAAGAATTGGATGGAACATTTCTAGAGCAAATATAAATTCAAACTTTTTTAGTTGAAAAATAATACCTAAACCTTTCACTCTAACTTCAGATTGTTTGGTAGAATCTATAATTTCTTCAATTGCTACTAAAAGAGATGAATAGTTTATTTTTACTGCA